CTGCAGAGGCCCGGGGGCCGGAGGAAGAGGGAGGCGAGCTGGCTGCTCGCCCTGCGAGAGAATACCCCTTGACTATCGCGGAGAAGAGGAGATTAAGGTTAATCTTTACACGGTTTTTTATTTAAAAAAAAAAAACAAACCACCTTTTCCTGAACACAACACGGGTGCGATGGAAGGCTGAAGCAGAATTGGGTTCATTTGTATCTGTTTCACCTAGTGGCATGTGGTTTTGACAAGAGGTTGCCCAGGTTCTCATGCCAAAATGTGGCAGGCTCCCTGCGGCACCTCCAGCTGCAGGAGTGTGGCCGGGGGGCTCTTGGGTGGCGTGAGGGAGTAGCTGACTGGGGAGAGGAATAGGTTGAATTGGAAGAAATGAGTCAAAACTGGGAATTACCTTCAGCAGCCAAATGTGTTTCTCACTGGCTTCCTTTTTTTTTTTGTGCCTTAGGGTTTTGTGCTTTTAAGGGTCACTGTGGGTTATCTGTCATCGGCAATCCCTTTCTGCTGTGCGAGTGCTGCTGTTCTTGAGTCTTCTTCAGCAGCTCTTCCAAAATACATTGCGCTGTTTCTGGTGTGGCTCAATACAGGTGGAAAGAAGCTTTCCAGGACCATTTCTCTTTTTTTTTTTTTTTTTTTCCTTCCATATCCCTTTGTAAACTGCTCTTTGCTGTGAGCTGTAAGCAGTTCCTGCCCCTCTGGTGGTAACCCGCAGCAGGGAGGGGATTGCAAAGAGCATGCTTTCCCCCGCCTGTGTTTCTCTGCTTGTTGTCTCATGTCTTACTGCTAGGCTGAAAGCTCTTTTGAGGAGAGAGTATACAGTATGTGTTTTTACATTGTCAGGGAACAGCTGCACCTTTAAGTCAGGTACTTTGTAGTTGTGGTTATGAACCAGGAGAGAGGTGAAAGTACAATTAATGTCTGGTGCTCCAAAGAGAACAAGAGTTACTCGCTTGCAAGAGCAGTGGGAAATGAGTTACAGCCTGACCCTGGAGTTAAGTTTAACCCTGCAGCCTGTATACAAGAAACAGCAGAAGATCTGGTTATGGTAAAGGAGAGTGCTTGATGCATTGAATTTTTATTTGAAGTTGGGTATCTAAAGCTCAGTTCTTCAAGAAAAAGGAACTGCAGTCCTATGGCCATGGTGCGTGTTAGGAACAGAGTTAGGATGTCCCAAGCTTGTTTACACGTTTTAGTGCTGAGAGATTCTGGTGGGGCTTCTTGGCACTTCTACGGATCAGTAATCTGCGTGTATTGTGCAGCAGCTGCCAACACAAAATGTATGATATAAATGAAAACTGAACACTCAATGTCTGTAACACAGATGAATACGCAGCCCACGCCTCTATTTAAAATGCAGACCAAACACGGGCCAGATTGTTCTCCAAAGTGTCTGTTTAAAACACTACATGCTGCAGCCTGTAGTTTCCATAAAATGAAATCTTTTGAGAGTAGCTGTATTTGCACATAAAGATGAGGTCATCTGCTGCCTGTTTGATTGTTGCATGTAGGGTTTAATTCGGCTTCCTACCAAAATGCTAATTTTACTTTCAGCTAGAAGGATATGGAAACTTTGTCAACATACAGCACGCATGGCAGTGGCATGGCGTGGCAGTGAGTCACTTAGGTGCTGAAGTAGGGTTGCGTACAAAGTATTTTAAAATTGAAACCTTTGTCTTCTGCTCTAGCACGGTGTCCTCATGGGTGCTTAACTGCTGCCCTTCTTCAGTGGCATCAGAGGCTGGAACAGCATTTGTTGACTTGTTGATACAAGTCAGTCTTCAAGCTATGTTTCTGGGAAGTTTTGTCTGGTTTTAAGGTTTCTTAAAAGAAAAAATGAAATGCAAACTCTGAGCCACTGAGAATTCTCCTTGATGCTGTTGCTGACCATGCAGCAATTTTTAAAATGCAAATGTATGCATATAGCATGAAAATCTATAAGTGAGAAGTGATTAAAAATTATAGACAGTTTGTGGCACACCCTCGGCGTTTGTTTGCAGTTTATTATTAGAACAGTACACCCCCACACGTTGGCAAAGAAGTATGTTCTCAGATTCATTGAGTTGGCACTTTCCAGCTAATTTTTCAAAATGCTATAAAAACTGAATAATGAAAAATGAATAATTTTAATAACATTTGTTTTCTATTATGTACTGGAATGTGATATAAAAGTTAAAATTATAAAATCCAAATGGAATATTTAAGCCTCTTTATAGTGCGCTTTTTTAAATATTTTTTTTTTCCCCCAACATATTTTGACATTTCATTCTGATTTTGAGATCTGTGAATTTTCTACAAAAAAAGAATAATTTTCTATTTTGAACAGCTGCATTTATAACATTAAAAGAGGAAAGCTAAATATTTTACAGAAATTTTTTAAGAGCCTCTTGGTGAAGATGCTCCGGTCAGAAGTTTTGAGGAAAGAATCTTCTCTTGCAGCCATTTGTAAATATGAAATCATTAATGGCAACCTCCCTGAGATCCCACCGGGAAGTTCAGCTACATATTTTTTCTGTGTTGTGCTATTGTCAATTGTTGTTTTTTTTTCTCCAAGGGAGGCAAGAGTTTTCTGTGAGAGGACTTGCTATATTTGAGTCAGCTTGATGTCGCAATTACCAGGAGGAGCAGATGGGGACAGCTAGCGTATGTTACTCCAACTTTTAGCACTGTGCTGTCCCTCTGAAGGCTGCAGGCAGGCTCCATTGTGCTAGGCCCTGTTACATGTAGTGAAAAAGTATTTCTTGTGCTCAGTAACTGTATTTCTTGATTCTTAGGGACTGTCAGCAGGCTGATATAAAATATATATCTGGATGGAAACAGTGGAAAAGAACTAGCAGTAAATCATTGAAAAAAGTCCTCAATGAAGTCAGGGAGTTGTTATCTTTTCTGGAGCTTTGGCGACATGATATTCACAGCATAGAAGGTATTTACTGTCTTACCTCAATTTCTCTTCTTTCAAGTTGCTTCTGTTACTGTTAGTTTTACATGTGTGAGTGTAGTTTCAGATATAACTGTATGTGTTTAAGAAGTTACCTGCTTCCTTTATTATTGCTGATGTAAAATCCGTGATGGGGTTGAAGGAAATATATTGGAGAAAATTATTAAAAAGTCACATTTCCATTTCAGTTGTATTGCTGAAAGCCGGCAGTAGTTAAAACTAGCTTTAGTAATGTTTCGTCAGTTAATTCAATGTAACTGAAATGATAATCTGCTCATTCTGTATTTTCAGTGATTTTATTGTCTTAAGTATTGGCACATGTCTCTTTTATTCCCAGGGAAATTTGGTACTGGCATCCAGTCCTACTTCTCCTTCCTGCGTTTTCTGGTCCTGCTGAATTTTATAATTTTTATCCTGATGTTCAGTTTTGTTACCCTTCCCAGCATCATTTCTAAATATGGAATATTCAACAGTAGCTTTACTAAAACTCCTCTAAAGAACATAGGTAAACACCTTCTCTATGTACTGCTGTTGTTTGTAAGATCCCCCCTTTCCCTCAGCTTCCTCTCCACCTCCCAGGACAAAGAAATGCTTTTTTTTATAAGAACTTGCCATGTTTGAATTAACTTGATCTTGCAGTTTAATGGGCATTATCATTTGAGTGACTTTTCCTGCCTTTCTTTTGACAGAGCCTCACTGCACAGTTTATAAACCTAGTGGTAATATGGGACTTGTTTATTTCTATACTTATCTCAAAGATTTGCTCAGCGGCACTGTAAGTCATTAGATTTTTTTTTTTTTATTAAGTTTCTGTGTCTCGTGTAACATGTAAAATGTGAAAACATTTTACTTGGGGAATGAAGCTTTGATAATTTTGAAACATGATAAGGCATATGCATCACTGGGGTGAAATTAGCCTTTATCCTTTATCTGTGAGAAGGGGAGTTTTCAAACTGACTTTTACTGAGCGTCCACAAGGCCTGGTTGGCCACATGCTGCAGCCTGCGCCTCTCCTCCCCAGCTGCTAAACATTACGTATTCTGGAGGACGCTGCCTATTGTGCTGTCTGTGTAGGGTCTCAGTGTCCTTGTCATAGAGCTCTCTGATTGGAGAGAGGAGGGGTTTTAAGCATGTAGTGTCTGCATTACAGTTTGGTGGAGGCAATGGCAGTATTTAGAAGCTACAGACTGTTGTAGCTTGCTGGGGGCCCCAATAGTGATTTTAAATTTACAGAATGGTTGCTTAATACCAGGTTGGATTTAACTGGGCAGTTGTTGCTACTGTTACAAATTCTATTTAAACTTCGTGTTTTCACAGGGGTTCCTTGAAGTGACAAGTTTGTTTTATGGCTATTACACAATAGATGCTGCGTGGCTCCGTATCCTGAGGTACAACTTGCCACTAGCATATCTGCTGGCTACATTTGCCTACCTTGCGTTAAGTCTCCTCTGGATAATAAAAAGGTAAAGATGGTATAGTTTATTTACTGCTACCTATTGCACAGTTTACATTGCATTCTTGCTTGTAGGGTACATGCTGCGTTCTAGAACTGTTTTGTATGGATATGGAGAATCTTTTGCTTGAGGAGGCAGTGCCACAGTAGCCTTTGTCTGTCTTTGGGAAACAGCCAGCAAAATAAATAAATAAATTTGAAGTATTAGTTTTTCATATGTACACATACATATAAATAAAAGACCCTCAACTATACAGTAGTTGTTGTTGGAGGATTTTATTTTGGGGATTTCCCCCCCCCCCCCCCCCCGTTTCCTGAGCCAGCTCTTTGCAGTGTCAGAGAAGCACTGGGTAAGGCGAGAAGGTATGACTGTGGCTAAGTGCAGAGGGAAGTAACCTGTGTCGGTTGTGGCTTCAGCTGACTTTGATTGCTGCAGAACCTCACACTGCAAGCTTCCCAGAGATGTAAAGCAAATGTGGCTATTTGCTTGTGGGGGTGGTTGGTTTTTTGTTTCGTTTTCTGTGGATGAAATACGTCTTTTCATGAATGAAGTAAAGTTGCGTTTTTCTCTAGGTCTGTGGAAGGATTTAAGCAGAACTTGGTGCATGATGAAGATCAATTTCAGAGTTACTGTAACAAAGTCTTTGCAGGCTGGGACTTCTGCATTACAGATCCAAATGCAGCACAGCTAAAACATCGCAGCTTGCAATATGAGCTCCAAGTGAGTAACTTCCATTTTTCTATGATTATGGTTTCATACAGCTTAGGTGGCTAAAAAAGAGAGGTGTATAATTCTGCAGATAATGGAGTAAGGATAAGAAGGATTGAAGTAGTTTATACTGGGGGCAGGGCAAACCACATCCTCTTGCATGCTTTCTAGGTAGCTAGAATTGTGGTGCAACGTGTGAAGGATTGGCACTGAGGTTGACGGCCCTTCCCCCATCCACTGGGAACTGAAGCCAACCTGTTAGCTGCTTGTCTCTCTGCTCTTCCTCACACTCCAGTCCTGCTTCCTGTGTTAGTTTCTACATAATCCAACAGGAAAAGCTGTCCCAGCTGTGGGCAAAACCCTTGTACTGTCGGGAATCAGTTTGAGTATACTGGGTTATAAGTCTGCAGTGTGGTAGGCAGTAGTTTGGGGAGGAATAAAATTCAGATGGTACTCTTCATACAAGTTGGGAGCACTGTTGCAGTAAGAAGGTACTGAAAGTTTTTCACTAGGTGTCTTTGACACACATGCACGTACAAAATGCTGATGCAGCTAATAGATTTCCCAAATCATAAAACTCTCTGAAAAGAGAGTCTGAAAGGCTTTTCTGGTGAAACCAGTACCTTCTTTTTGCTCTCTGTACACTGGAAGCAGAGATTTGTGTAGTGAAACAATTACGTTTGAAAAGATACTTCCACTTCAAACCACAAAGCAGTAACTACAGATTTCATAAATTACACTGAGTTGCTTTCTGCTCTAGTAAGGTTCACAGTTATCTTTTTTCATCATATAACCAGAGCCTCCTTCACTTACCACACTTTTGCCTCTAGAACTCACACCTTAGAAAAACTTGCCCCTTAATATTACTGTTTGATGGAAACAAATCCTCAGAAAATCTGGTTAAATTGCCCAGGTTAAATTGCCTTCACAGGCGATACTGTATTTTCATGTCAGCTAAGGTGAAACGTATCAAGCTTATGTGACAAGCTGCTCAAGACTGTACTTCTTTCTCTCTGTGCCATCCCCCAATTTTCCTTCAGAAAGAGGAGAGGGAAGTTTGAGCCATAGTGGTGAGGACTGGTTACTTGCAGAAGTAAGGAGATGAGTGGGCTGGTTTACCCATTTCACAGTTTAGTACCAAGCTGTCTGAGATCAGTCTCTCACAATAAACAGACAAGTTGTCTTTCTGTCCTCAAGGAGATATGTTACTGATATAGTAGAGATAAGAGGATTACGAGACACTTGTCTTTGGCTACAGGGCCCTCAGCCTGAGGAGACTGAGCACACTGGGGCTTCCACTCCTGCATGGACCTGTTTATGTCAATGAAAAGGCACGCCCAGTTCAGTGTGCTTGGGCAGGCGGTGGAGTGACCCTCCTAGAACAGGCTATGGATTTGCACATCCCAGAGGTAGAAGACATGGTGTCAAGTGTTGTATGCTGCACCAGAAAACTACACATCCTTTTTCTTTTGTTTGTAGACAGACTTGGAAGAAGAAAGACTGAAGCGAAAAATAGCTGACAGGACAATGAAAGAAAAGCTACGCATCTACTCTCTGAGATTATTTATAAATATAATTGTCATTGCAGTTTTATCAGGATGTTTCTACGCTATATATAGAGCAACTGTCTTCTCTCAAGAAAACTCCAATGTGAGTATCAGACACGACATTAGGACAGATTCAATTGGGGCTGGTGATTACAGCAAGAGGAACTGTTGTGAAAGTCAAGTATCTTAATATAGCACCTTTCATGCAAGGGATCTGAAAATGCTTTCTACAGACCTAGAATTTTTTTAGTAGAGGAGAGTGAGAAGGATCAAGGAGCATGTGCAAGAAAACTCCAATGATGTCTCCTTTTGATACAGAGGCTCCAGTGTCATCTACCTTGGAGCTAATGCAGCTGACAAGAAAAGCAGCCCTCAGTTCCCTTCCCATGTAACGGTTCTCACCTCGCTGTGATCTACTAGTACAAGTGTTTGTGTGTCTGGGCAGTGAACTGGCTCGGGGAACTGATCTGGTTAAAACAAACTTCATCGTGATCAGTTTCTTGATCTGGGTCACTGCTCAACTGCAAAAATAAACAGCAAGGGAAGAGGATGATTATGATCTGTATTGTGGCTTGAGTTACAGCTGTGTGGGGAAACAGGAAGACTGAATATGGAGCACTTTGCAGAAGAAAAGGTTCTTGCATCAGTAGTGGAAAGAATCAGATTGGGTGGGATTGTTCACCCCTGGCAGGACAAGCAGATGGGAAGAGCAGTTCAGAAGCAGAACAAGAGCAGACAATAGTTTCAACAGTTTTGCAACAGTAATTGACTTCTCTGTAGGACCCCGGGGTTGAATTAGCTTGACATGAATGGAGACCGCGCTTTTTCTCTCCCTCTGTTCATTGCTGATGTGATGGGGCACTGGCTGTGTATGGGGAAAGTTGTGCTCGTGGTGGACCTAACTCCTAACTTCTGTAAACTGCCAGGATTGCAGAGAGAAGCAGGAAATGGGGACTAAAGAAGTGTTTGTGTCAGAGGTGTTGTTTGGGGGCAGAGAAAGAGGATAACACAACACTGAACAACTCGAAAAATAGCCTCACTTGCTGTTGGCTTTATGTATAAGGGTTGATATCTTGGCCTTGCCTAAACGAGTAGGTAGAGGAGCTTGTTAAGATGGTGGGAAAGTCAGGGGAGCTGATTGGCACTGGTGCAAATAATTTGAAAAGTGTCTGCACTTTGACATAAGTGTAAAAGCTGATAGCTGTAGTGCTGGGTTAGGTAATGTAGACACAAGCCTTGGTGACATGAGCCTCTTCAAACAGAAGCTTTGGGGAAGCACCAAAACATTCATACCTGGAGGTGGGGGGAGTTACTGATGAAGGGGGCAGGAGAAAGCAAGGGTGTAGCAGCAAACTGCAGAGATAGATAGCAGTGGTCTGGCTTGTAGTTCCAAACGTACATGGAGGATGAAGGCAGAGTAAAAGATGCTACCTGAATCCTGGACAAGAGAGGCTCGTGGGTAGCTGGAGTGAGCATGATATCAGGAAGGTGTGTTTCTCTGAGTATTACCTTCCTCTCATCTCTTCTTGAACAGGACGTCAGCAATACGAACTTCCAAGCTAATCTCTTAGTGCAGTATTTGCCTTCCATTGTGATCACACTGGCCAACTTCATTGCTCCTCAGATCTTCTCATTTCTGATCAGATTTGAAGATTATTCACCAGCCTTTGAAATCAGGCTGACACTCATGAGGTAAAGACGTTTTTATTGTGGCCTTGGATGTTTCAACAACTTGTTCTTGGTAGGTTATAAGTATTGTAAACATTGAAATATCAAGAAGCAGAGAGGTTGGACTCTCTGCACTGGAGGGCCTGGGCACTGGAAGCCAAGCAGGCATTGTTTGACTTATGTTTAGTTGGAAACTTTAATTTTAAATTTGGAAACAATCTCCTGTTTTGATGACAGTACAGTGTAGTCATTTCAGTGTCCAAGTTTTTCTCTCAGTCCCATTTAGCTATGTGATCTGGACTTCAACAACCTGAATAACTAGTCAGCAGAGAAGTTGTGGCTGCAGAGCTGTGGATTCACACCGCTTTGCATGCAGCAGTTCCTTGAATGAGCAAATGCGTGTGTACAGCAGTGACTGAAGCACGGCTTTGCTCAGGGCAGAAGTTAAAAGTTTTGGGCTAAAAGATACTTCAGTGTGAGAACATGAAGAACTGACGCTTGGTAGCTTAAGGCAGTAAGGTCTGGGTTGAAGCATCTGAACTCTGCAAGCCCCTGTGCTTTATATTTCCAATTTGGCTAAGTGCCTGTGAAGGCGTGAAGCCATGTGAGAGGGAAATGCTGCACGCAGAGTTGTCACCTGGCCTCTCAAACTGCACTTGGGAGAATCACAGCCCACTGCAGGGTCAAGATCTGCAAATGAAATGACAGAGCAATACTGAGAAAAGAAAGAAGGGATTGTAGCCTAAAGCAGGGAAGGTGAAAAGCAAGTTAACTTACTACTAATGAAAGAAGTGTGTTTATTAAATAGCTGGTCGTTCCATTAAAGCTCTGTATGACCCTTTTGTGTTTCGAGCCTTCCTTGGACTCCTGTGCAAGTTGAGCCAGGTGTTAGAATGGCTCTTTTTTGGCAGGTTTGGAATTGGGTTTTGCCTTTCTTCCAGGTGTGTCTTTGTGCGGTTGGCCAATATTGGTGTTCTCTTGTTCTCCCTGTGGAGTCAGATCTCCTACTGTGCCACCGATGAGTGTAAGGCCTGTGGATACAATTATGAACTCTATCCTGTAAGCAGATTTACCGTGGTCTTTAATCATCTGAACTTGTGAATAGAGATTTGTTTTCTATGAAACTTGCTTGTCTAGAGGTATTCAGAATCAGACCTAGAGTTGCTGTTCATGTCATACCTGGTGCTGATTCTTACTGCTCAGTGCAAACCAGTACAGTTCTTACATACATCTTTTCTTTTTCTAAAACTCTGATTAGAATTAGTCCAGTGGCAGACTATCATTTAACACAGACTTTCTGACTACCATGAGGATTGTCTGAGGTAGCTCTGTTTTGGAGACAATTTACTGCCTTTTGCTCCAATAAGACAAATGGTCTTTCCTCAAAAAAAAAACCCAAAAAACACCACACCACCAACAAAACCAACAAACAAAACACTTGGCATGGAAGCTGTGAAACACTTTAATATTTTAGAAATGGGAGTCAATACAATTTGAATTTTATGGTGTTAACTGACTGAGAGGTTTGTTGCTTGACATGTTATTTAGACTTGTTATTTAGATTCCTAATCTTGTTTTTTCCTGACTTCTTTTTATAGTGCTGGGAATCTGAAGTTGGGCAAGAAATGTATAAACTGATGATATTTGATTTTATTATACTTCTTGCTGGGACCCTTTTTGTAGATTTTCCTAGAAAGTAAGTATCTCTGCCTTTTGAACATACTTTTGTGAATGACTTACGAAACCTGTTTCTTTTTTCTGTTATTAATTCCCCATATTTCTAACCAGATTACCAGTTTTAAAATAAAACGTAAACATATTTCTGGTAGCTTTTTTATACTTGAGTCTTGTCTTTTTTTTTCTTCAGACATTTTTCTGCTATGTTGTCTAATGGTTAAATGCTAACTGTGTGTGTTCCAAATGTGTTAGAATTCAGCTAAGCTTTGTAACTTCAATTTAGAACTAATGATGTTCTTTGGTTTTAGGTTGTTAGTCACTCATTGCTCTTGCAAGCCAGTTCAGTGGTGTGGCTTGCAGGAATTTGGAATTTCTGACAATGTCCTGGAAATCATTTATGGGCAGACCATCTGCTGGATTGGAACCTTCTTTTCACCACTTCTCCCTGCAATAGCAACTATAAAATACTTCTTAATCTTTTACATTAAAAAGGTAATGAAGGTTTGTGGTAAACAAATAAAATTGAGCACTTCTTTGTAGTTTTTGTAATGTAGATATGCAGTTGATTTAAAACAACCAACCAACCCTAAAAAAAAAAAACCACCCAAGGATGTGGTATACTGGAAATGAGGTAATGGTATTCCATTTTCTGTAGCTTTTTTGCTTTTAAGAGAAGGTAGGATTTTGCTTTGAAATCAAGCAAAACAACATTTTAATAACTACCTCATCAATTATTTGATTTTTTTTAAAAAATAAAATTTTTTATGTGATAAACCTAGTTTATAACACTTTTCTGCAATAATCTGTTTACTAGCAACAGAGCTTAGAACTTGGACAAGATTTTGCCAAGCTGCTAAAAATTTGGGAGCAAAATGGATAATCTAAGCTGGATTGGATGTTCAGGACGTGGTTTCTGCATATCAGAATCTTTCCTCTGTGACCAGACAGCTCCTTCTGTGCAACAAATTCATACTGATATTTTAGTTCTTACAAGGAGGGATGTATCCAGTGAAGATTTGGCAGATCAAAGCTAAAGGCTGTGCCATGGATCATACACCAAATGACTATGTCAGTTGACTCTGTGCAAGTGTATGAGGCCCTCTGGATCAAATTCTTACCCAAAATAGGAGACATTGACTTATACCAGAATGTAAAGCCACCTTGTCTTAGCCCTTTTCCGTCAATGTACATTAAAGGAAGGATGATTATGTGGTAGCTGGTAGCATATTTGAGGATGGAAAATTCGGTTGGTGGGGAAAGTATACTTGGATGTATTGTATAGATGTACTGGTAACAGTCTTGCTCATTTTCCCTCTTCAGATCAGTTTGATACACACACGTAAACCTGCAGCTAGGCCTATCAGAGCATCAAGTTCCAATTTTTTCTTCTTGGTGGTATTGTTGATTGGGCTCGTCTTGGCTTTTATTCCTTTGGGAATCAGCATAGCATAGTAAGTGACAATTTAACTTCTATGAAGTTGACATTTGCTCTAAGGTTGTCAGTTCCCTAAAAACAGACACACAACTTTGGAATGATAAATTGGAATAAAATATATTGTGTATAATAAATTGAATTATTATTTAGTTCATATAAATAAAAATTACAGTTTTAAAGACAAAGGACATTTTTACCCCTTCGGCAAAATGGTGGTAGGCTTGTGTTGGATTATTTTATCTTTACATTTTGATAGAGCATCTCCTTTCTGTTCTGCTTCTTTGACAGTATCCCCTCCTCCAAGGCATGTGGGCCGTTCAGGAGTTTTAACACTTCATGGGCAGTTGTTCCAGATACAATACTTGGGTTTCCAACAGGTCTGCAGCAGGTCCTTCATGGCATAGCATCAGAAGCCTTTGCAGTGCCTTTTTTTATGGTCATCTGGTGAGTACTGTGGAGACCTGATTCAGTCATGCAGCTGCATGGTTCATTTCCTTACCTTTCTGAACTGATAGCAAACAACTATTAGACCAGATTTTTCATCTGCAGTCAAAAGCATCAAAGCCCAAACCTTGATTTAAAAAAAATAACAAAACAAACAAAACAAATAAAAGCCCCCAAACGGTCATTATGTAAGATAAAATTCAATATAGAATTTTTAAGGTTGGAGGTCACATCTAGAGATCGTCTAATCCAACCCCCCTGTTCAAAGCAGGGTCAAATAGAGCAGGTGCTCAGGAACCGTGTCCAGTTGGGTTTTGAGTATCTCCAAAGATGGAGACTCCACAACCTCTCTGGGCAACCTGTTCCAGTGCTTGGTCACTCTTGCAGTAGAAAGTTGGTTTGTGGTTTTTTTTTTCCCCCCCTATGTTTAAATGGAATGTTTTTGCATTTCAGTTTAACCCGACTGTTTTCAGATCTTGGAGCCTTGTTACCTGATACCTTCTACAACTTCTATGCTTGAGAAACCATGCCGTTTATTTCAGATTCCACCCAGCCCTTTCTTCCATAACACATGTTTATGTGTTCTCCTGAACTGAACCTGTTACTGCGTACACAGGAAATATCAAGTCCTCTTTTTTGGTTTGGGCTTTTTTTCTTTTTTTACTTTATCATAAAGCCTCTGTAAGAGGTGGAGGATGACTTGCACTGCTACCCTACTAACTATTTGGAAAAGAAAATACATTATTCATATAGGCATTTGTGCCATTCTAGTTCTTGCTACTGCTCTTCATCATTTAATGCACTGTGGATAATCTGGGTCACATTACGTCTGGAATATGTGCTATAAGGAATGGCTGCAATGCTGATCTGTGGCTGCTTACCATAGTTACAAAGCCCAGTGGGAGCAAAGAGTTACTCCAGTGAAACCTCATTAAACTTGATTTCTGAGGAGCAAAGCCCCTGTACATACACTTAGAGCAGGGCAGGAACTGACGGTCTAGAGGGAGCTGTCAGAACACAACCTGTAACATCTGAACATCGCCGTGCCTCTACGTCCTCTAGCACTCTGTCCCTGCCTGCCGGCAGCACAAATATCTCAGCAGATGCTTTTGAGCAGAGCTATGCCCAACCTACCCCACCTGTATATTGATTTTTTTAATTTTTTTTTTTTCTCCAGCAGCTTCTCGTCTGAAGCAAATGCACAAACTGACAATTTCTTTAGCCCATAACAGCCTTTTTCTCACTAATTCTGTTTTGCGTGATGCTAATATATAATGTTGGTTTGTGGTTTGCAGCCTCATTATGTTCTATTTTATTGCCTTGGCTGGAGCACACAAACGAGTGGTTGAGCAGCTGAGGGAACAACTGATGATGGTAAGATTTGACCCACTTTTCTGTACCCCTAAAGTTTTCTTTGTTGTGTCAGTAATCAGGCATGCAGAGGAACAACATAGTCTTCTGGATACTTGGTGTTTGCACAGGCCATGAAGAATGTTTTACAAATTACACAGGAAGAATAACCGAGGTACTGTAGTATTTCTCAGTCTAGCTGGTTTTCTTAGGTATCAGCTGCAACTGCAGCAAGGTCTGGTTATATCAGGCAACACACGTGCATGAGATACGGCTCTGAGAAGCGGTGTCCCTGTTCTTCATCTGTTGTCTTGCTTAAATCCACCCATCTGCATTTTTTTTTTTCCTGCCAAACAAGAACCTGAATCTTGGGTTTCCTGTCCCCTCCACCATCTTACACAACCCCCACTTCTGTTTCCTTCACTCTCACAAACAAGCACCCAGCTCCCTACCCTTCCCTCCAGGTCTATCTTTCTACTTCGTCGTGTCTGGTTTTATTCCTGAGTGCAGGTCCCAGCACCGCTTGCAACAGGCACTCAGAGTGGAGCAAGTCACCACTAACTAGTCCTTTGGAGAACGGTGCCAGTGCAGACATGCTTCTTTGTGGCCATCAAAAGCTGCTGCCATGTTCGACAGCATTCATACACTCTGATCTGTCAAACTCTGCTCTAGTCAGAACCTAGCCTCGCTAGTTAAGACTTCTCACTTTCTTAGGAAATAGCCCATTTCTTGGGATGTGCTTCTTTTAGATATGGCATTTAACAGCCCGTCCTTAGAAAAACACTGTGCTGGGGAGACATTTTTGAAGAGTAAGGAATTTAGGAGCAAAAGCCTTACTGCTTTTTAAGGGGTTCGCAAATCAGTTAGGAATTGTGAAAATCCTTGCGTGCTTTTTATTTTTGTTTGTTCGCTGTTGTTAGGCTGCTTGGAAGTATGGGTTTAAGTTTTTAGGTGTGTGAGATGTATTTACTTAGATTCAACGCAGAACTGTTAATATGTGACCTAACGTGAGATAAATGAAGTCAAGACTATTGTAAATTTAAAATTGTTCAGGTAGTTGAGAGTGTGCTGGAAGCCACTAATTAGAGTACAATGTGGTGAGTGCACCTATTTATTTCTAAGAAAGAAATGAGCTGTTCATAGATAACTTGTACTACTTCTGTTCATCTAGAGCATACTTTTTATTCTGTCTTTCCAGGAGAGTCATGACAAGCTGTTCCTAATCAGAAAGATAACAGAAGCTCAGAGGCATCCTTGAAAACCACAAAAAACCAGAAGAACCTGACTTCCTGAAACTCCCGGAACCACTAGATAAGAGTAGAAGCATCTGCAGCACCTAAAAACTGAGCAGCTGACTGGCACCCTGGCACTGCGGTTTATGTAGTGGACGCTTGTGGTCTTAGTCTTAATTATGCTAGTGGGCCTTAAAGTTTCCAAGACTGGAAATTTAGCGAATTTATACTGTTAGACCTGTCCAAAAAATTGTATGGTAGGACACTTTATTGCTGCTACAATTTCAGGGTTGTTGGGGTTTAAGTCCCTATTTTTCCAGGTGTTTTGGGTAAAATGTGATCAGAACTGAAACTCTGTTTAAGAACTTTGTACTGTTTTTACAAATTATGCTTTAAGAATCGGGAGGGAGGGGAAAGGTGTGGTTTTACATGTTTCCAACTCACTTCTCTTTTAAAACCAAAGCAAGAGAGAGACGTAAGTCAGTATTTTGAAATAGTGCTTAGGAGAAGAAAATCTGGCATGGGTTTGAAATCAGTTTTCCAAATATTTTGAGAGAAGAGACTTTGATACTTACTTTGCTCTGAAATAGCAAGTGCAGTTGAACACTGGATAACGTCACAAAATGGTTTGGAGAAAACAAGCTGATAAAAGAGCTCTGAATAAACAGTGGGAGTAGGAAGAGACCGCCAGTCAGGTCACCGAGCGGTGCACGTCTGTCGCAGGGAGAGCCGTTGCTCGGGTGCCAGCCTCACTGCTGTGGAGCAGCCTTTTTTTTGTGTTTTAATGTGTTAAGGCATTATTACTTGTGTTGTATTCTTGTACAAACATCTTGACTACTGTTCTCTTTGTTCTAAAATGTGAATATTTGAGAGTTAAGTTATAGGTTGGAAATACAGCATTCAGAAATTTATGTGTCAGTACCCTTTAAATTCATGTTTCTTCTCACTTAAATGAAACGACGGAGCTGTGTGACTCAGAGGGAACAGTACTTCTAAGTAGACTACTAACTGTTTCCTTTATTTAAAGACTGTGCTTAAGGCTTTTCTGTACAGAGTTGTGTTTATTACTTGAAATTTGCCGGTAGCACACTTAGTTAATATGTGAGAGGCTATTCTCTGTTTCGGAATGTGTTCTGTCTTCATTTTAAAGAGATTAGCGTTCAATAAATGATTTTTTTTTTTTTTTTAAATACAACGTCTGATGTTTTTCGAATCAGTTTGCCGTTTTTTTTTTTTTTTTTTTTTTTTTTTTTAGCAAAACCATTTTGAAATA